AAAGCGTTTCACAAGCTAGATACAAAAGCAGGAGTCACTCACCCACCACTGCAATGCAGCCACCTCTGGGCTGGAAGGCAGCAGCGGCGTAGCAGCGCGCAGCAACGCTACACAACAGATTAGGACTGGAAGTGAAGGAGAATCCCACATCCACTTGAAACTGCAGGGGGAATTTAGGGAGACAGAAGGTAGTTACCCAGTGCGGTTGCTGGCTGGGGCGCCCACAAAAATCAGACCCAGGGAACATATCCTGCATCACCTCAGTGCCAAACCCCTGAGCGTGCGCACAGTGAGGGGGGCGCAGGATCCGCCCCTGGGTGCGCTGCAGGGCAGGGGAGCTGCAGGCACCTCTGGCCCTCACATCCAGTCCTAACTCATCCGAAGCTTTATGGTCTTACTGGGGAAGGGGGGGAGCCAGGACCTGCCGAAGGAAGGGGAGTCACATGCCCTGCAGTGCCGCACAGCTGCGAGAGCCCCCTGGGCTGGACTGGGGCCACTGTCCCTTACAGACCTTGAGCGCCATGACTTGCTCCGGGGCAGCAAGCAGCCTTGCCATGCCCTCAGGCTGGGTCAGAGCCGGGGAAGGCCCCTGCCCCATCCCAGCCACCCCCATCCCCTCATGTTCTGGGGCTGGTTTGGAGCCAAAGCTTCTGGAGAGAGAAGTCCCAACACCCCCATTGGCAAGCATCCCTGCTGAGGGACTCGTGATGGGTCCCCCGACCCTCTAAGCCCCCCATTCCCATCATGCTGGCAGGGCTTGGGCTGGAGCCGTGGCTGTGCAGCCCGGTGCAGCGGGGCAGACCAGTACTTACAGATCTCTGGCTCGTCCTTCACACACTGCAGTAGTGGGGACAGCAACACTCCCGGGGCGTCCCCACCAACATCGTGCTCTGCAGAAGGAGGGTGAGGGGGTGCAGAAAAGAGCTTCAATAACCGGGAGACGAGGGGTCCCTGCCACCCTACAGCCGGTACAAGACCCACTCCGGCTGCCTGAGCCCATGGGTACCTGGCGGTTCTAGTGATGACGGAGGGCGGGTGGCAAGGGCTGACCTGCGCTTCCTGGGGGGCAGCTTCACCAAGTCTAGAGGAAGAGAAAGACATTGTCAAGGGACCCTGGGTGGCCGTGTGGCACGAGTGCTCCCCCAGCATCCCACGTCCAGCCACCCTGCCAAGCCCACCCGCCCGGCCCCGGGGAGCACCCACCTGGCATCCTCCGCTCGCGGAAGACGGGCCGCCCAGCCGCCTTCCAGATGCTCTTCATAGCTCGGTAGTGTGGGGGCAGGCGGGGCGAGGGGGAGGCGCGCCCCCCC